AGCTCCCCTTTCTGGAGATCTCTTACAACGGTTTGGTCTTCTTACCGTCATAACATTGCATGGTCAGTTGGTAACGATAACTCGACCAAGTTCTAGACTAACACTTAGATTGGAATTGGCATCTCCTTAGTGAACAGATTGATAACTCATCCCTTCCGTACATTAAAGCCATTTGTCCACGGTATGCTTCTATGGGCTCGGATAGTTGTTATTGGAACGATAACTCTAAGCGGGAATTCTCTGTTAAGAATGCTTATCATCACATAGCTTATCCTCACAGGAAACCAGCTAATGATAGTTGGACTTTGATTTGGAAATTAAATGTTTTAAAAAATATTCGATGCTTTCCCTGGTTATCTTTTTATGATAAACTCTTAACGAATCATAATCGCCTTAAGAGATCTCTTGCCTCTAACTCCTTGTGCTTTCTCTTTGGCGATCATGATGAAACTCTCCTATATATTTTCGAGATTGTCCTAATTCTCGCAGGTTATGTCTTTCTCTCTCAAGAAATCATTTGCATGAAAACTTTTTTTTATCTCTTTCCAGGATTGGATTCATGGTATTTCATCACATGGACTTCGTCCTATAAGTGATGGCCTCTGGAATCAATTGTTCACCTCCTTGATTTGGCACATTTGGAAACGCAGAAACACTCACATATTCATGGGACACACTATGGAGATCCCCACTTTTCTCCATATTTTTGCTCAGTGAGTAAGACTCTAAAAACCTCCTGCCTCAAAGACAATTTAAGAACTATGCGACCATGATGGACAATATTAAGTGGAAGCCACCCCCTACGGGCCGTAATTTGAGTTTTATCTTCATTGAATATTGTTCTCCTCAAACTCAAATTGCTTTCTTTTTCCACAGTTGGTTTTGTCTTAATACAGATGCAATTGTTTCTCGAGTCTTTTGCGTTAGCTCGAATGAAGTTTTACGCGATCATGAAGGTTCACATCTCTCTTTCTACAAAAACGTTGGCCTTACTACAGTTCTTCAAGCAGAGCTGTAGGGCATCTTTGAAGGATTAAAGCTTGCGAGCTCTCAAGACTTCAAGAATATTATTGTCCAGTCAGATAATATTGATGTTATAAAGTTGTTCTCCCCACCATTCCCGTATAGCCCTTTTCCACTGGTTCTCTCCATTGCTCTCCTTTATGAGAATGATTAGAGCATTGAATTTTCTCATATACCTCGCGAGGCCAACATGTTAGCAGAAAGACTGTCTAAGTTTGCCCCTCTCTCCAATTTAGTTGTCTATGATTCAGTTTCTCTTCCTGTTGAATTTTACGACCTTCTTGACCGAGATTGTAATGGCTCTCCATACGTTCATGTAAGGAGTGTGTAATGATTCGGCTTTAGCCTCCCTTATATTCTAAAAAAATGAATTGAACGGTGAGTTGTACTTGACACAAATAAGTTGAAGATTTTTATAACTTGCTAGAATGGAACCATTGAGGACGTGTTTGAAATCATATCGTTCTAATGTAAAACACCACCACCAACAACAAGAGCAACCTCAAAGATAATTGTCAACATAGACAGTAACGATGTTGCTGCTGGCAAACAAAATGGGAACACCTCGAAGGTTCAACAATTGGCTGGTAATCGAAGAAATGAATATATTAACCACAATGCACAATGTTCTTAAGTTATGACAGCCAAAAGCTCACATATCCCAACACTGAACACGAAGCTATTGTTCTTGTATCCCCACATCATTTGAGAATAAGATGGTAATGGTTCCTACGTTTTATAAAAAAGACAACGACTTGATGGGAATCAATATCTTTACGCTTGGGGCAATGAAGCAGCTTGTTAGGATACATTAACTAAAAGCAAATTGAAGCGAAAATCCAGAACAAACAGCACATCATGTAAAACAAGATTAGAAGAAAACCAAACTGTGCCTGCAAAGCAATGTCTTTGGAAACTGAATTGAGAAGTCAAGAATTGACCAAATTGTTGGCTCTTATCCAAGCGTTGAACTAATTTACCATGGACGAATCAGGAGATGGAATGGAACCATCAATGAAACCAAGTTTGTTTTTGGCAGAGAGGGCAAGCATCATCGATCTTTTCCAACTATGAAAGTTATCATTGGAAAGCAGCTGGCTCACCAATATCATACCAGGATTATCAGATTGATACAAATAATAGGGATTTGCCCCATTATCGAAACTATCATTTAAGGAATCAGCCATGATGAAGTGTAAAAAAAAATCAAACTTTTGATACCATATAACAAACAAGAAACTAGAAATGGAAGAATGCTTTCTTTCACTTGCATGCAAAAGAAGGTTACAAAGCTGTTTATATACAGTTATAATCTTAACTAACTAACCGTATTAAAAACATATTAAAGCAGTTAACTAATTACAGTTAATGTATCCTAATACAGCTCATGAGGTCCTAACCGAGACGCGTCTAATGTTGGTTGAAAACTATTTCCAAACCCCCTCTTATGCTTGGGCTAGCCCCTGGCCTCGGAGAATTTCTTGAAGGGCTCTCTCCGAGGTAAATCCCTACAATTATTAGTACTGATTTTGATGCTCTCGTTTTATTAACGTAACAGAAGAATGCTCAATTGTCAATTCTATTTGAGTTTATTTGAAGTTGTACTTTTGTATTAACGTTTTTCGTGTTATGGATTTCAATGAAACAATTAAATAGACCGACTCTTAAAATTTGATTAAAGAATAAATAAAAAATAATTATATTATTTTTAAAAAAAAATTAAGTTATTATTAATATTTAAATCAAGTTAGAATATAAACTAAACCTTATTTTTTAAGTAGAATATAATTTAGTTCAAGTTTGGGTTAGTTTTAATTAAGAATGAAAATATTTTGAGTTCAATATTTTTTTGAAACGAATTTTAACTTTTTTATTTCAAATTCGAGTTGAATTTGACAATTTTAAGATTGTGAACTTTCGAATTGAATCAAATTTAACTTTAAAGTTTTTAAATCAAATTATGTTCAATAATATTCAAGTTTAACTCAACTAGTAAACAACCCTAACTTAATTTGAAATCAAAATCCTTCTTATCATATGTCAAACTTTTGGCAAAAGTAACTCTCATAGAGTGAAAATGCATCACATTTGACGTTAATAAAGAACAAACACGACAATTGTCAAAAGTAATCCCTGCATATGAATCCTTGTTTCCAATTGAATAACTTTGTCCTCGTCATTCTTGAGGGTGAGATATACCAATTCCTCTTTGCGATCCCATCAGCTTTGTCACTGCAGAAAAAATGAAAAGAGAAAAAAAAACGTTTCGTAGAACAGTTGGCAGGTGACTTTTCTTAGAAAAAGATAATTAATTTGTCAAACTTCAAACATGAGCCACTAGTTATTACTTTCTAGTCAAAGTTTAAGTAAAAAATCAAAAGAGTGACACAAACCTCTTTAAATCAAAAGTATAAATATCAATACATGTGAAGATGAGTTATATTTTTTAAAGTCTGATAACGAACTTATAAATTTCGAAATATCAGTTTATCAGATAAATTAGACATCTATAAAAGACAAGAGATTAGTGAGCAGTCACAAACCCATCATTTTATGTCAAGAATGTAAAATTTTAACATAGAGATAACGAAAATAGATTTTTAATAGAAAATATAAAAAATATCTAAAATATTTATGAATTTTAGGAGAGCAACCGCTCTCCACCTAGGGATAGATATAGGTCGGGTCGGGTTGGATATTCGGTCCATCCGATCATACAAAAAAATTTAAATTCTCCGAACCAAAAAATATACTCATTCCACTTGACTCGAACTCGACCCGACCCGAAATAATATATTTATTAAAAGATTTTATTTTTATTTAATAAAAATAAGGATTTAATTGAAAGAAAATAATATACGGAGGGGTATTATTACAATTATCCCTAAATATATAAGGTAAAATTACAATTTTTGGGTCGGTTCGGGTCGGGTCATGCATTTTCATCCTAAACCCGAAACCCAATCCGAACATAACTTTAAAAACCCGACCCGACCCGACCCTCCGAACCTGATTTTTTTTTAATAAAAAATATGACTTGATTGAATTAGGTCGGAACCCGTCGGGTTCAGTCTCATGTTTATTCCTATCCCCACCTACCTTCATGGTCTATCTCTGATAGTGAATCGTCTCAAAAATTTTCAGAATAGTAAGCAAAAATTAACTTTCTTAAACATATTAACTTTGATGTATAAGTACTCCTAGGGAAAACATTATGGAAACGGCCCCAAAAGAGCTTATGCGTTTCCAAATGCTATGGATTAGGGTTTAGCAATAAACCTGAGAATATTAATAAATCGATTCGAATTTAATTCAATTTAACTTTTTTATTTTATGATTTATTCATAATTTGATTTGAATATATGGTTTCAAAATTCGTTTTGATTTCAATTCTTGTACGAAACCACTTTGTTGCGAATTAAATCGAATTAAAAAAAGAAAAAAACTGAAATAAATAATCTTTTAAAACTAAATGTATTTACATTCGATTGAAGGTTGAAGTTTATTTTTTTATGTTAAGTTCAAACAGTCAAAAAAACTGTAAAACCAAATCAAATTAAAAATTTTGATTTCATTTCCAGAAGAAAAAAACTATATAATACAATTCAATTCATTTTCTATTAAAAAAAACTATATAATACAGTCCCCTCCAAAGCCCCGAGTATTCATTTTGTAACCATAACATACTCTATGGAAATAAGTATTCGTTATTATTGTAAAATGTGCCAAATATATTGACTCACCAATAATGTATTAGAAGTAGACAAACCATGTGTGATGGATTCAAACTTTTCTCCATGTAAAAGGCCAACATAATGAGCTTCATTACCACCCCACCAAAATTCCCTTTTCATTCTTTTTGTTTTCTCAACTCACGCTTCTTTCATAGATATAGTTTTATCATTACATGCGGAGCCTTTCTTTTGGAATTTCGGTTTTTTATCAGTATATTCGTGAAAAACCCGAAATTACGATTAAAAAAACGTAAATCAGAAGCTCTGCTAGGCTAAATTGCGAGAATCCCAGTTGAGAAGACTTGGCTTGTACTATTATATGGAGAGGTGTTATGTATGGCTCATAAAAAGTCTCGTTGTGTGGTTACGAATTATGTGGGTTGGGGGTGCGGGGGCGCAGCCCCCGCGGTACGGTACAGGGTTAATTTTGTAATTATGTACCAGGGTTTTCTATTATAAATAGAGATGTAACCTAGACCTAAAATATCATTGAATAAAACTTCTAGCGCCGCCTAGGCACCGAGGACGTAAGCACATTGCCGAACCTCGTAAAATTCTCGTGTTCTTTTGTTTTCTTTACCCGTTTTCGTCAACAATTGGTATCAGATGTCAGGAGCAAAATACGAAGTCGCGAAAATCGATGGTCAGGGTAACTTCGGATTATGGCAAACGAGGGTGAAGGATCTATTGGCGCAGCAAGGGATCTTGAAGGCTTTGCGACCTACAAAGCCGGCGTCGATGGATGAGGAAGATTGGGAAGAATTGCAGCAGCGAGTGGCAGGAACCATACGATTATGCTTGGCGGACGAGGTCATGTATCACGTCATGCATCTATCGTCTCCAGACGAAATTTGGAGGAAGTTGGAAAGTCAGTTTATGTCCAAATCCTTAACGACAAAACTATATCTGAAGCAGCGGCTGTATGGGCTGAAGATGCAGGACGATCACGATTTGGCGCAACACGTGAATGTCTTCAATCAAATCGTTTCTGATCTGGCTCGGCTTGATGTGAAAATTGAGGATGAAGACAGAGCGATGATTCTGTTGTGTTCGTTGCCTCCCTCTTACGAACACATGGTGACTACTCTTACATATGGGAAAGAGACTATCAATGTTGAGGAGATTACTGCAGCCTTGTTGGCTCACAACCAGCGGAAGCAGAATGCAGGGGAAAACTCTCAAGCCGATAGCTTATATGTCAAGGGTAATCGAGATCGTGGACGGAAGCCAGAGAAGGCAGGGTCCGGGAAGCGGAATTCCAGATCCAAATCCAGGGATAAGAAGACGATTCACTGTTACAAGTGCAAGGAGGCGGGACATATGAAGCGAGACTGTCCGAAGTTGAAAAAGCAGACTGATGAGAAGCGTGATGGCTCATCCAAGTCTGTGAACGTGGTCGAGGATGATAATTCTGATTGCAGTGAGGGTGATATGCTTTCTATTTCAACGACACAATTGACGGATGCTTGGATTCTTGATTCTGGATGTTCTTATCACATCACGCCAAATAGGGAATGGTTTTCGACATACAGGCCGGTTAATTCTGGTTCGGTTTATTTGGGTGATGATCGATGTTGCAATATTGTTGGTATTGGTGATGTCAGAATTAAGATGCACGATGGCTCCGTTCGGACGTTGAGTGGTGTTCGACATATCCCAGACTTGAAGAAGAATTTGATTTCCTTGGGCACTTTGCACAAGAATGGTTTTATCCCTAAGGCTGACGAGGATAGGGAAACCATTCGGATTGTTAAAGGAGCATTGACTGTGATGAAAGGCAAGATGACTGCAGGGAATATCTACAGATTGTTAGGGAGTACCGTTGCAGGTGGAGTTCACTCTGTTGAGTCCTGTGATGATACGACAAAATTGTGGCATATGCGCCTTGCTCATCTTAGTGAACGTGGTATGGCAGAATTACACAAGAGAAACTTGTTGCATGGTGTCAAAAGCTGTAAGCTCGATTTTTGCAAGTATTGTGTTCTTGGTAAACAGACTAAAGTCCGTTTCAAGACTGCGAAGCACACAACTCAATGGATTCTTGATTATGTGCATTCTGATGTATGGGGGCCTTCCACGACATCGTCTTTGGGTGGATCTAGGTACTATGTTACTTTTATTGATGATTTTTCACGGAAAGTTTGGGTGTATTTTTTGAAACAGAAATCTGAAGTTTTTGAGAAGTTCAAGCTGTGGAAAGCTGAGGTAGAAAACCAAACAGGATGAAAAATCAAGTGTTTGCGGTCTGACAATGGTACGGAGTACACAGATTCACAGTTCCTACAATTCTGTAAGGAGCATGGGATTCAGAGGCATTTTACAGTGTGCAAGACACCACAACAGAATGGTGTTGTGGAACGAATGAACAGGTCGTTGAATGAAAGAGCCAGATGTTTGCGGTTGAATGCGGGGCTTCCCAAACACTTCTGGGCTGAGGCTGTTAACATGGCGTGTTACCTTATCAACAGATCGCCAAGGGCATCGCTGGCTGGGAAAGTTGCAGAAGAGGTATGGACTGGTCATGATGTTAGTTTTGATAACTTACGGATTTTCGGTTGTCCTGCTTATATGCATGTACCTGCTGATGAGAGATCCAAACTTGATGCAAAATCGAAGGAGTGCATTTTTCTGGGTTACAAGAAAGGTGTCAAAAGATTCATGTTCTGGGATCCAGTTGCGAAGAAAGTTGTGATTAGTAGAGATGTCGTTTTTGATGAACAGTCCATGTTGCAGCAGAAGCAAGACACGACAGTGGTGGATTTCGAGCAGTTTCCAGTTGAGAAACCAGAAACTTCTCAACCAACTTCTGGTGGTTCCACTACGGATGATTTGCAGGATTATAGTCTCGCCAGAGACAGGGTGAGACGGACGAATATAAAGCCTCCGAATAGATTGGGTTTTGAAGACTTGGTATCTTTTGCACTTATTGTTAGCAGTGATGATCCGGTTACTTTTCATGATGCCGTTACTAGTCAGGAAAACGACAAGTGGATGGCAGCCATGGTTGAGGAGATGGAGTCTTTGAATCACAATCGCACATGGGAGTTAGTTCCCCTTCCTGAGGGTAAGAAGCCGATTGGTTGCAAATGGGTGTATAAGAAGAAACCAGTAGTAACAGAAAAAGAGGGGGAGAAGTTCAAGGCTCGTTTGGTAGCGAAGGGTTTTTCACAGCAGAAAGGAGTTGATTATGATGAAATCTTTTCTCCTGTGGTCAGGCACACTTCAATCCGAGCAGTACTTGCATTGGTGGCTAGTTGGGATTTGCATTTAGAGCAGATGGATGTTAAAACTGCTTTTTTGCATGGTGATTTAGAGGAGCAGATCTACATGCGGCAACCTGAAGGTTTAACTCAACCTGGAAACGAGCATTTAGTTTGCAGATTGAAGAAATATTTGTACGAGTTGAAACAGTCTCCGAGACAGTGGTATAAATGGTTTGACTCCTATATGATCAAGATTGGCTACAACCGATGTGAGTATGATTGTTGTGTCTATGTTAAGAGTCTTGATGATGGTTCTTTTATTTTTCTATTACTGTATGTTGATGATATGTTGATTGCTGCGAAGAACATGGATGATGTTATCGGTTTGAAAACTTTATTGAGTCAGGAATTTGATATGAAAGATTTAGGTGCTGCAAAGAAAATTCTTGGAATGGAAATTTGCAGGGACAGAGACTCAAGGAAACTGCGGCTATCTCAACGGGGTTATGTTGAGAAAATGCTAGAAAGGTTTGCGATGAGCAGCGCAAAACCAGTTAGCACTCCATTGGCGAATCACTTTAAGCTCTCATCAGAACAGTGCCCCAAGACAGATAAGGAAGTTGAAGATATGGCAAAGGTTCCGTATTCTAATGCTGTTGGCTGCTTGATGTATGCGATGGTATGTACTCGTCCTGATTTAGCTCATGCTGTTAGTCAAGTTTGTAAGTACATGTCTAAACCTGGTAAGTAACATTGGGAAGCAGTCAAGTGGATCTTTCGGTACTTAAAGGGTACTGTGGGACATGGAATTGTTTTTGGGAGTCAGCGGGATAATCCTTTGGTTGTAGGATATGTGGATTCAGACTATGCAGGTGACTTGGATAATAGAAGATCTACGACAGGGTATGTCTTTACTCTTGGTGGAGGGCCTATTTGTTGGAAGTCTACTGTTCAACTATTGTGGCTCTATCTACAACTGAAGCTGAGTACATGGCAGCGGCTGAAGCTGCAAAAGAAGCTTTATGGCTTACTGGTTTAGTGAAGGAGTTGGGTGTTCAACAAGGTGGAGTTCAGTTGCTTTGTGATAATCAAAGTGCTATTAACTTGGCTAAGAATCAGGTGTATCATGATAGAACTAAACATATTGATGTAAGGTTCCACAAGATCAGAGAGTTGGTTGCATCTGGAGAGGTTTTGTTTCAGAAGGTACATACTGATGAGAATGCCGCTGATATATTCACCAAGCCAGTTACGACAGACAAGTTCAAGCATTGCTTGGACTTGTTGAATGTTTTGAGTTGTTAAAGAAGCAAGGTAACCCAACCCACATTGAAGTTTCCAAGGGGAAGGATATTCGCCAAGGTGGAAATTTGTTATGTATGGCTCATAAAAAGTCTCGTTGTGGGGTTACGAATTATGTGGGTTGGGGGTGCGGGGGCGTAGCCCCCGCGGTACGGTACAGGGTTAATTTTGTAATTATGTACCAGGGTTTTCTATTATAAATAGAGATGTAACCTAGACCTAAAATATCATTGAATAAAACTTCTAGCGCCGCCTAGGCACCGAGGACGTAAGCACATTGCCGAACCTCGTAAAATTCTCGTGTTCTTTTGTTTTCTTTACCCGTTCAACAAGAGGTTTGAAATTTTGCAGATCTTGAAGCTTTTGATCTGCCATATTCTTTCCTCTCATCCATCATTATTTGCCTCGACCTACACTCTTCACTGCAAAACCCTGTTTCCCCTCTGAAACAAACGAACAAGTTATTCTATTTAAGGAAAATTCGAACTCAAAGGAAAAATCTATTAGGAAGGGTGAAAGGGTTGTTTTTTTTTACCTATACATGTATATGTCTTTGCCATGCAGCTTTTTCCGGCAAAAATGACAAGAGGCGAGAAAATCTGAAGTTGGGTAAACGACGTCGTCTTTAGCCAGTATTGCTTCTGGGTTTTCTTTTACATAATGGATTGATTTCCCACGCGGACGGCTTATCACATGCGTATAATCCTCCTTCAAATCATCGGTTCTTCCCTTGAACCTATCAAAACCCTTCCCGAAATCAGCGACGATCGCATTCGATATGATCAAATTTGAGCAGCAAATCGCACGGTTGCGACAATCAGTGAAGGTAGTCTTCTCGAGTGTAGCGACGATCCCTAATCCGATCCCATCGACGTCGTATCTCTTGGAAGTTTTGGGGAATGAGCTCTTGAAATCTAAAGGGCTTTTGGGGTTGAAAATTCTGGGTTTGTTACCAGAAACCAATAATTCGAACAATTTCCCGATTATGGGATGAGATTTCTTCCCTAACTTAACTAGGGATTGATGTTTTTGTTGCGGAAGACGGCTATCAGATAAAGTAAAATCGCAATTGATAATTTGAGAAAATAAAAATCAAGATAAAAGAGACAAAAAATTTACGTGAAAAAAACTCTAAATAATATAAGGGTAAAAACCACAAGCAACGGTAGAAGAATTTCACTATAAGAAAATATAAATTACAAATTCTCTCGATCTACCAAGGAGAAAACAATGATAATTCTCTCTTGATAAAAAAAGAGAAAACAACTCTCAAGAAACTCTCTAAATTCTCTAGTATTGGGAGAAAGCTAGAATGATTTGGGATGATTTTGAAGCTAAATGTATTGGGAGAAAACAACTCTCAAGAAACTCTCTAAATTCTCAAGGTCATATGATATGCTGCTCCCGAATCAATGAGTCATATATCTGTAAATCTTTTTCTACTTTCCAGGGTGGTTAACGCTTCACAGTATAGAGCATCTTCATCATCTGAAGTGTTTGTGGTATTGCCTTGTGGATTGGAGTTTTTATTTAGACCCCAACAATCATTTTTCAAGTGACCATTCTTTCCACAGTTGTAACACTTTAAATTCTTCTTGCTTCTCGACTTTGATCTACCATGTTTGTGACTGTTGCTTTGGCCACGTTCTGTTGATCTCCTTCTCATCATTGTCAACGCTTCTGCTTGTTGCATATTTACTTGTCTATCTTCATTGTTCTTGCGTCGATTTTGTTCTTTTAGAACAACAGCTGCAGCGTCATCGAAGACTAGACCGGTGACATTACTGTTTGTCAAGTTGATGATGAGTTGATCATATGAATCAGGTAGACTTTGAAGTAGAAGTTCAACACGGTTTTGTTCTCCTATTATACATCTTAAGGATGTAAGCTGAGAAAATAACGTGTTCAGTGTGTTTAAGTGCTCCGTCACTGAAGTAGATTCTGGCATACGGAGAGTGTAAAATTTCCTCCTAAGAAAAAATTTATTGTGCAACGATGTGACCTCGTACAATTTGGTGAGATGATCTCATATCTCCTTAGTTGTCTTCTTCTCCTCAATGCTTGACAATACTTCATCTACTAATGCTAGATGAAAGTTTGTCATAGCATTCCCGTCCATTTCGATCCATTTGTTGTCATCTGTGAAATCTACCGGTCTTTCACTGATAGCTGCTAGACAACCGTCTTTCCTCATGCTAGCCTTCATCTTCAATTTCCACAATGAGAAATTTCTCCCATTGAATTTTTCAATATCAAATTTCGTTTCCATAGCTTCTATTATGGATAGTTCCCACTATTTCACTATCGTGAATAGTTCTCTGAAACCTTCAAAGAATGAGTAATATCTTCTTACTTTCTTATGTTGGATGATCCACCTTTTGGTGGCAACCACAAAGACAATAAGCAGATATTACACACTCAAATCTAGCTCGGATACCAATTGTTGCGGAAGACGGCTATCGGATAAAGCAAAATTGAGAAAATAAAAATGAAGATAAAAGAGACACAAAATTTATGTGGAAAACCCCTAAATAATATAAGGTAAAAACCACGGACAACGGTAGAAGAATTTCACTATGAGAAAATAGGAATTACAACTTCTCTCGATCTACCAAGAAGAAAACAATGATAATTATCTCTTGATAAAAAATGAGAAAACTCTCAAGAAACTCTCTAAATTCTCTAGTATTGAGAGAAAGCTAGAATGATTTGGGATGGTTTTTATGCTAAATGAGTTAGCGTATTTATAGTCGAAGCTTAGGGGCTATTCTTATGAATACCCTAAAATACAATGACTAAAATTGAGATTTTACCATTATAAAAAAATCAACAAAATCAAACTTGCAATTTCGGTGCCTACAATTGTTGAAAAATTTAATAATTTTTTTTAACCATGCACCGAAAGTGCATTGATTTTCAATAGTTTTGTTGAGAGGGGAGGAATTGAAGAGAAAGTGGGAGCTGCTTTTAATGTCATTAAACCATCGTCTCCAGCAAAGCCTATGGTGAAGAGGAAGAGATTTATGGCGATGGTGGAGTTGGTGGTAGACTTAGCATATGGTTTGGTTTTTCATATTATTATGAATGATGATTCATATTTTAGTACTATAAAAAGAAGACTAATATCTTAATAGTATGACTAATATCTTAATTGTATCTGTAATAATAATTTTTTTAATAATTAAATTTAAAATAATTATGATTTTATTTTTTGGAAATTTGGATTTTTTAATGTCAGTTGATTTGGTTTGAAAAAAATGATTTTTAAATCTGTCATCGATCTTTGGGTGAGATAGGTTGAATATCTAAAATTATCTTTTAAAATAATTTTTAAGAAAATTATTTTAAAGACAAATATTGGTCTGCGTAATACCAAAATTTTATTTTTAATGATTCAAGAGTCGATTACGCGTGGGGAATGGTTAACGTCTCCACAACGCCCAAAATTATTACCTCTTAATTATACGTTGTCTAAATTGTGGAACTTATATATTCAAATCCAAAATTCAAATTATGATCCTTTTATTTCTTTGAGTGAAAATATTGAATTTCTTTGCAAAATATTTGACTTGATAAAAATGATTTAATTCACTCGATTTTTTTAAAAAAGATGTCCCCTTACTACGTGAATTAACGGAAATTAAAATCAAATCATATTAGACGTAATTTTATTAACACACGAACATGAATAGATGATGAAGGCAACAATAATAGAGGATATTAAAGTTGAAGAATGAAATGTAAATAATATAGAAATTAAATAAATGTTTACAAACAAATTATTTATCTTAATTAAATTAAAATTGACGGGATATTTTTTCACTCGTGCGTTTTAAGGAATCGAACTCCATATATTTTGGAGGTTTTTTCAAGGACAGCTCTTCGTTCGAGATATTTATCATAAAATAAATATAATTTGATTTTTATTAAAATGAGCTGACATCCCCACGTCATCTTGCCAAGAACCCATTCACCCTCCGGGTTTCACACCTATTCACATTCATGCCCGCTCTTCAGCCCTGCAAGAAGCCCGACCTCAAGTATTCTTTATTAATAAAAATCAACAGCATATGGATATTCGTTCCCGATCAATTATCCACATGTACTAGGAACGGGACCAAGAGAGTTTGGTACTGAGAACTTAACCCCGAATTTAAATGAGCTAGCAGAGAAATAGAAGGTCAATGATGAACTATGTCAACAGTTCAAGAATTTAGAGGAGAGAGTAAAATCAGTAGAGGTGATTGAGTCGTTCTACGAGATCGACATTAAGGAATTGAACCTGGTCCCCGACTTGGTTCTCCCACTGAAGTTTAAAGTTTTAGACTTCAAAAAGTATGATGGGACCACCTGTCTTTCATCCAATATTATGATGTTTTGCAGAAGAATATATGGTTACATTGATAATTAGAAACTCCTGACACATTTCTTCTAGAATAGTCTATCTGGATCAGCAGCTAAGTGGTAAAACTACCTGACCAGGTCACATATCAAGTCATGGAGAAATCTATAGAAGGCATTCTTAGAGCAATATCGTCATGTAAATGACTTGGTCCCTGATAGATGGACCCTCCAAAACATGGAGAAGAAACATAATGAGACATCTATTAATACACTCAGAGATGGCATGATATGGCTACTCAGGCTCAACCACCACTACTGGAGAAAGAAGCTATTGTAATCTTTATGAACAAGTTGACGGGTTGTATCTAGGATATATGTTGGGAAATGTTACCAATAATTTTTTGACCTCATCATCTCCAGTATGCTTATCTAAAATGCAATAAAGAGTGGCAGAATTGAAGGAGGGGGCGAGTCTAGCTCCAAGAAGCCCGTTTTCAAGAAAAAAGATAGTGAAGTAAACAATACAAGTATATATAACAAGAATACTATGAAGGGTGTCACAATCACTTAACATAGAGTTGAAATGACCTATATGAATGCCAACATGAATTAGATCAGAGGACCAAGAAGAGAAACCAAAAAGATGTCTTTTACACCCTTACCTGTGTCATACTTGGACATATATGCTTCATTTCTAAGCGCAAATATGGTTCAACCTTACCACATGACCCCTCTCCAGCCCCTGTATCCTCGTTGTATGATGCCAATACACACTGCGACTACCATGCTAGCATCGCTGGGCATCCTATTGAGAATTGCTTAGCTTTAAAAAAGGTGGTACAAAACTTGATCAATACTGGAAACTTAGAATTCAACTCACCAGTTGCGTCAATTTACCCATTGCCAAATCATTGAGGTCAATGAGTGAACATGATCGAGGAAAATGAGAATAAGAGAGTAAAGAAAGATGTCTTAGAAATCCAACCCCCTTTGAGTTGGGGTATTCAAGCAGTTGTTTAAAGCTGCTCTAATCAGACTAGTTTCTCAACCAAAGCTTGGTGAATATGGAATCTATTGTACGTATCATCAAGAAGAAGAACATGAAGTTTAGTGTTAC